AAAAAAAAAAAAAAAAAAAAAAAAAAAAAAAAAAAAAAAAAAAAAAAAAAAAACACGACGTTCACAGAAAGGATGTCACATGCGACTGTTTATACACTGAGTTGAGTACGAGACCCAATGTCTCGTATTGCGTAGCTTTACTCACTAAAGTCGATCCATTGTCTCCTATTGTGTGGCTTTCACTAAAGTCAATCCATCTCATATTGTGTGGCTTACTCACTAAAGTCAGTCCTTTGGCTTCACAGACTTCATGTCTTGAGCTACCTGGAAGTCCACAGGGGAAACTGGTCACTTGAGCCAGTGAAACCCTGCCAAATCAGTGAGAGATCTCAAAGCAACTTGAGCTAGTGAGCCATGTAATGACCAGCTATTTCCCACGTTTCGGAGGGCACTTCCTGCAATGAAGGCATCTGGTTTATCAACAGCATGTGCACTATCCCTCAGTTGAGGATTATGGAAACATATAGAACCAACAAATACTATGGATGCAGTCATCAAGAGAGCACGTAATGAATTGGAACCTAAGAACCAGGATCCTTTGCAATCTGAAACATCCAAACATCACTACGCAGGCACGCCGTGCTCAGGTTAGTAGAAGTGATTGGAGTATTTGCAAGCATATTGACACGGGCCCAGCGCAGGCATTCAGAAGGTCAGATACGATGGGAAGAAGAAAGGTTATCATGCTGTTCCATGGCTCTTATAAATATGGGAGACATTCAAGGAACATCAGGCACGATGAGGAGACCAAAGTCTGACATCCGGGTGCGTCGAGTAAATGATGGTGTTACAATGAACATTAGTCCAATGCTAGGAAAAGTAGTCAAATGATTTGTATGGTGGTTCCATGAACAATGCTCTCTGGAATCGGGTTTTTCTTGTAGTGAAAAATGACATACAACATGAACCAACATCCTAACCAGAAGATCAGAATCACCATCAAGAAAAAAAAGATATTGTGATGTAAGACAGGGGTTAGTGATAGGGTACAAAGGTTCCAAAGAGGGGACCACCACCCATATCCCAAAGCTATTCTGCCAAGCCTATCATCAGCCGGGCACAAACACCATGCCAACCGGCAATATGTCTGTGTGGTGCAAGCCAGCACAACAATAGCAGGATCTGAAACTTCCTCCGAGATACAGACCTGGGCCCCAAAGAGGGAAATAAAGAGCACAAGCAAAAGCGGCCAACTGAGAGAAACGAAAAGAGAATAAGGGGGGGGGGGGGGGGGGGGGGGGGGGGGGGGGGGGGGGGGGGAGGGAGAGGGATCAGAAATGATAGAGAAGCAGCAGGCAGCATGACCTCGAGATCTTTCACGATCAGTGGTTGAGATTCCAACATGGTAAATCGGCAAGAGTAGTGGCAAAGAGAGAGAGAGGCAAAGATAGAAAGAGGGAGAGAAAGAGATAGTACCATAGGACCACTTCTCAGCCCCTAAAACTGTCAAAGTGCAATGTCAATCAGCCTTTCCTGTTGACAGATAGAATGAGACCAAACCGTGTTATGGACCGGCGCCGTTGTGACATACGAAGAAGATGGTCCATAGCCGGTTTCAGCTCTCCACCCACGACAATCCTCAGGCTGTCACCAGGCCGTATTGAAGTTGACGCCTGCACTAATCCGTACCGCCATGCAGTTTTCTTGTACCTGCGAAGTATTCACACTCAAGTCAAGAGAAGTCCATTGCCCTGTTGTCTCTGCAAAGTAAGGTAACCTCTCTCACACGGGTAATTGGATAAAGCACTTGTCTAGGAGTTGGCCTTAAACACCGTGGGGATAGAGATAGTATTTTTTGAACTGTGCCTTGTAGGAGTGGTATTGGTGTTTTCACACATGGCTACATCGAGTTCATCTCCCTCAGGTTCAGGGTCGGTGGAGGAGAAACACAGAATGTGGGAAATTGTGAATGAGTGTCATTCCAAAGGTATTCTTCCGGAGGAATATGCACCTGACATCGTCGACTCTGGTCCGGATTATGTGAGAGTTATTTGAGGAGCTCTACAATATCCAAGCTGGGTGGCCGAGGGATCGTGCGGTTACAGTCCACTTTGGCGATGACTCACCTCATAGCAGTTAAAAACAGACTTGTCCGGATCTACGAGGAAGGGTGCGCAAAATCCAGGGTTCTTAAGGTCCCTCCTAAGCAGGGAATCTTCCAGAACGACAGCAAAACTTAGTAACATCTTGCTCGCACAATGTGAAACGGTTTTCACCTTTACGGTAGCAAATGCACTTCCCAGGGCTCGATCCCTCATCCTCACCCATGTTACATGCTGCGCCTGCAACAGGCTGCACGGGCCCCCTTTCAGGCCAGTGATGTTTTCAGGCCAAAAGCCTGAGACCAAGGGCCTACAGGCCCTGTGTCTTTTCAGCCTGAAAGCCTGAAAACAAGGGCATACAGGCCCTGTGTCGTTTCAGGCTAAATCAGGGCCTTTCCGGCCCTGAGTATTTTCAGCCTGAAACTGAGGGCCATTTTCAGGCCGTCATCAGTCCGACCCGGACTGAAACTCAGGCAACAAACCAGGGTTTTAGCACAGGCCATTTCAGGCCTGTTTTCAAGACAACCCCTGGTTGAGCTTTAATGCCAGGGTCTGGGACGTTTTGGCATTGGCAAGAGCAGCCTCCTGGACGGGCCAGCACTATGTAGGACTGGCCCGCCCTGCAGGCCGGTAGGCAGTTCCTAGGTACTTCCCAGGCACTTCACGTGCAGTTCAGGAGGCAGAAGGTAGTCTTCAGGATTCGGCAGCTGCACTCTGGAGGAGCGCTGCAGGAGTAGTAGCGCT